AGTCGACACTATTATCAATAGAACCATCAAATGATCAAGGTTCATAGTTAATCAAATATCAAAGGTAAAATATTCAGCTGTCATTGACAATCACATTGTTTTTAACATTGGATAATTTCAGATACACATGCAAACAAAATTGTTGATTTTGATAATTAACTAAGCAGAGAAATGACTACAAATGAAGTAAAACCATGTTCCTAGAATATATATGGCATGAAACCCTCGCTTTAGCCATGATACTCATGTTCTCGTGCAAAGCTGCATTGATCTTGTGCTTATTTGCTAACAAATATTTTTTTCATCCCAAATCCAGTTTGCTATATTTTTGCTCTTGTGTTTACATGAATCCAGTAACCAGGCTTCCGGCATGCTAGATCGCTAGAGCGATCCATTTATGGTGTCACCTACACTCAGTTCGATCTCAGTCGTTGTATGAGGGGTCATGGGTGGCTGTCGGAGCTGTCACATTTTGCTCTCACTTAGGTGGGCCAGAAATTGTTTGAGTTTGAATCCTAGGTTTGCCTTGATTATGTTTCTTGGTTTGTCAGAACAATATTCATGGATTTCACCAAAGTGGTAAACAGCGGAGACATGCATCAGTCAGGCTGTCCTCCCACGTCAAGCTGGCATGTCGGGATATAACTGAAATTCTATTGGCGTGAAAAGCAAGACTTACTTTTTGCAATTTTGCATTCATGAATCCAGAGGTGGGGTGTGCACTGCTCGTTTTTGTAGCATACTGAACATTTTTGCATTTGTAACTTTAAATATGTGATAAGTTTTATTTGCATATAGCTAGCACTTGTATGTTGATGTGGGATCACAAAATGTGTCCCTCCTCCTACTGAAGGGCGGTAGGGGTAGGGTAGCCCAGTAGTTAAAGCGTCAACCTGAATGCTTTGGTTTCGATTCCCAACATGGGTACAATATGTGAAGCCAGTTTCTGGTGTCCCCCGCCGTGATGTTGCTCGAATATTGTTAAAAGTGGGGTAAAACCATACTCACTCACTCCTCCTGAAAGCTGTATAATATAATGTATATGACCACATATAGGCGTACGTTGGTTCTAGGCCGACCTCCAAGCTCGATGATATGCCTTGGGGTATATAGATGTGCACATGAGCTTGGTGTTGACAGACCAGTGAACATGTTCTCCACTGGGGAGGCATTAAGCACAAACCTTACCATATGAACCGATCTGTGGTAACTATGGTAACCTGTCTAATTATGGAAGAACCATACAGCAAATCTGTAGAGCCGTGCACTGTTGTCCGGATGTGTAGTGGACCACATGTTAATAATGGGTGTAAGGTAGCTCCATGCTTAAAGAGATCCCAAATGTTGGGTACACAGCTCTTACAATTATCTACAAGCCCTGTACAATAGTTGGGATTTCTAGTAATCACTGGACTAAGATTAGACTTTAATAAAAGGGGAGTCAGATCTAATAAGTGTGTCTGGGTCAGAAGAGCTGTCACTGATAATATATTTGAATGTAGTTTATATCAGCTGGGATAATTTGGGATATATTCATGATCCTTTAATGCTATTAAGAGAGAGATGTGAGTCTACAGAATTGACTGAGTGTTTTAACCCCTAAACTGCTTGAATTATTGCTCATGCTAACAACTCATGGTTTGCCTGTGTCTCGCCTGATCAAGCACCTGGGAATATACTGTAATATGTCTTCCTGAGGCAAGGGAGTTAACTGACTGTAAAAGTCCAGTTTCCAAACTTGCCGATCTAGGCTGGAATTTCTGGGCTCGATTGTAGTGCCTGCAGTGACTATTACAAGTTATGTTCCTTCTATGTCCCTCCTATTAACCAATCAGATTTCACCTCTCATATTACTTTCATTTGCTTAACATAAAAATGACGGCTCCCACTCAAGATGATCTGATAGATAATCAAGATCTATATTATAATAAAACTGGTCTTATTCCCCGAAGAGCATCAAATCTAAAATCCTGCAATTGACTGAAATCTGCATGGCAGTTTACAAACCAGATTTTGTTATGCAATTTTGATTGCATAGACTCGTTAGTCCAGCCAAACTATAACTCCATAATTCCAGTCTAGTTCGTCAAGGGCAGAAACTGGTCTTTTATAATCAGTTAACTTCCATGCCCCAGGAAGATGACTCTAATACTACTGCCTGTTTATAAGTATAAAAGCAAGGGAGTGGAATGTGAAACAACTTTTATTTCTTCACCCAAGACCATCGCCATACACTGTCTTTTTGTTGTCGTTAGGTAAGCAGTGAATGCATTAAGGAATAATGCAAGATAAATATACAAATTTAAAAAATATTTAGGTTTTACTAATTTTTAAACATACCTAAAAACAAGAGAAGGCTGTTTCATGTCAGTCATGAATGGCTTATGAATTCTAGCAGTAGCACTTACTAACTTGTCTGATACTGACACAGCATATCATTTGCAACCAAGCACACAAACATTTGAAAACAGACAATACACCAAATCTAAACTTGAATATAATCCTTGTCATTTATTAAATTCCTCTGTCAAGATATAACTTGTTTGGTTGATAAATCTTGAACCCATGTGCTTATGCTGCAATAAAAGGTTTCCAATCTCTTGAGTCGTAAAGCCACGGAGCTAGCAGTATTTCATCTCGACAACCGATATATATGTCCTATGCTTGACATTGAGGTTCAAGTGACGGTCCTTTGTAGTGTGTTATACGGAGTGCTGAAGTGTTCCTGAACAGACAGGGGTTTATTGCCTTTATGACCAGCCTACACCGTAATACCTCCATGGGGTGCTCTTCTTTAGCATTTTGCAATATTCTGATAATCTTGAGGGTAGCCTGTTGGTTATAGCGTTGACTCATAATGCTGAAGACGCTGTTTGATTCCCAACATGGAAACATGTGTGAAGCACATTTCTGGTGTCAACCCCACTATGTTATGGCAAGAATATTGCTATTACTCACTCACTCACTCACTCACTCAACCACTCACTCACTCACTCACTCACTCACTCAACCACTCAACCACTCACTCAACCACTCAACCACTCACTCAACCACTCACTGATCTATGATTGATCCTCAAACAATCAATTGATAGATCCTCAATCGATCAATCAATTCCAAACTAACCATACTAACAACATTTTTGTTTGGTTCTTGCCATTTCAAACAGACAAACACTGTTGACCCTGACAACATCTAAATGTACCTATTCGTCAAGCAATTGCTTTCCACTTGAAATATGAATGCCACCTTTACAGATCATCTGCCTGGAGAGTAGCTAAGGCAGCCACATTGCTATAGAAGTTTACCATTCTTGAACACAAAGCTGAACTTCTTTTCATCACACCTCACTCGAAACCAACAGTGTTAGCCAGAGGTTTAAAATGTTCAAATTTCCTGGCATCGACCACTCAATAATGTCTGTAAATCTGAAAACACGTAATGTTTATCGACATTGTAAAGTACAAAACTTATCAATCATTTTCTGAAGCACTCTCTCTCTACGTGAACTCTCACAGTTGTAAGCCTGTCATGATGTCACCCTGGAATGCTATGATGTCACCCTGGAATGTAATGATATCAAGATGCAATGGATAATGTCACATACTTCCGAGATAACAGAACTCGCCTGGTTAAAAAGACCCAACTAAATCATACATGTTCTGATGAATATTGATCAAACTTAATATGTCATAAACATGGTATCCATTTCGCCAGGCTGAGATGGCTTTTTTTGTGCAAATTTGGGATGGAGACAAAAAAGATAATCCAAAATATATTTCTATGCAGCGAAAAGTCGGATAGATTTCCATTTTTCTGGCAAACGGATTGCAGCACTATTCAGTGTACAATTACAAAATTACAAGTGGACTGGGTGCAGAAATGTTCTCATGGTTGAGCCATATCAGTGATCACCTGCTGATACAGGTATATAGTGCAATACACTTATGTGTGTATGCTTATACAGGTATACTGCCATAAGCTTTTCAAACTATGTATTGCTGGATTTTTTCTGTGTTCCAGTATACTGGGTAAAGAAATATAAGGTGTTTCATTAATTTTTGTATTGTTTAACCTAAACTCTTCACCGAAATTAATTCACAAATGGAATTTCCGTTCAAAACTGACTGACAAAACGGCAGAAACATTGAAAAGCAAAAGTGTCTATCACTGTCAAACACTTCAGCTCCCAATATATTGCTACGCATCGCAATACAGATAACTGTATCGCAATATATCGCAATACAATTATTTTGTGAATACACAGCCCCATAAGCCAGGAGAAATGTTGTCCGGATTTCAGAGTTTGCCTGATATTAAAAAGGTTAATGCTTCCTCTGAACTGAGAGTGGAAATATGCTATATATCCTTCCTGTCTTTGTAGTTTCATGGTTTTGTAAACGGTTCAATGAAAGTTCTGTTCAATTAGAACATTATGTCGGCCATTTGTAAGTCTACTGGACCAATAATTAGTGATAAAGAATGTCCTTAAAGATAGATATTAACATCACAGGGAGAAAAGGAACAAAAGCAGCTATTATTTTCACAAAGATGTTTATGTTTGAAAGTTCAAATTATGTTTGTCAAGTATGCCTGTCATGTATATCCATGTTACCTACACTGCCTTCACTTGAAATTTCTGTTTTTCAGAATAAACAAGTAATATTTAGTCAGCACAAGTAGTTCAAATTTAGGTTCCCATATCAGCCTACAGGGGACTGGTTTTTTTAAAGGCCTTATATTGTGTTTGAGTTGGTTTATGAGACTGAAAGAAAAACAACTGAAATTAGAACAACAAATAATGTGACTTTTTACAAAATGTTTTTGGGCTGATCGTTTTGTAACAAGATTTTGTAACCACTGTTCATAAGAAATTATGAATAATATGTATAACAATCTTTGTTCTAACAAAAAGAAACAATCAATTATTTTCAGTCAAACAAGTCTAAAGGTTTATTTAAGTTTATGAATAATTGAAACAAAAAATTTGTTATTTTCAGATTCACTGATGGAGTGAAAGAGGGGGAGAAGCAGGTTGATCAACAAACAGACACAGGGGAGACTACCCACAAAACATCCTGCCAAGAGGAGACAACTCATGTAGAAACCAAAGAGTGTAGTCAATCTGAAACTGAAAGTGAAAAGCCAAGTTCACCATTCTTGGAACAATTGTTGGAGGTGGACCAAATTGAGAACGGCCATACGGCACCAACTGGAAACAAGGGAGACAACCCCGCTGAAAGAGGAAAAACTTTTATCACTTGTAGGAACTATCTTAGTGAACAGGGTATAGAACAGACAGCTCATAGCTCTCACGAGCAGAAGATATTTACAATACAAGGACCGATTCCACAAAAGCTAACTCGTGTGACAACAAAAAACGTGTTTCAGCCATTTAATGTTGCTAGCAATGAACACAATAGGACATTAGTGCCATACAGTCCACCGATTGTGCCACAAGTTAACAAAGGGTACTCACATTCATCTTTGCAACGATCTCACAACATGAGTTACTTTGTAGGCGGAGAGATGAGCATGTTGCCAGGCAACGTGTCTCGATTGTCTGAGAAGGAGGAGCTGCAAAGACTCAATGACCGACTCACATCCTATGTGAATCGTGTACGAATTGTTAGCGACCAAGGCAACCAAATTGACTCTTCTGCATTCCTCAAATCTGCCAAAATATTAGAAGAAGAAATGAACAATTTGAAAAATATTTACGAACAAGAACTTGATAAACTTCGGTAAGTATCTTGAATGTCACATTGTAACTTTGTTTGTTAATTGATTAATTCTGCACATGGCAATATATAAGCTATATGACGGCAGCATGTAAATAATCAAGTTTGGATAAGACAATCCAGTGATTGATATTGTGACCAACAATCCAAGCCATTGGGGAAAGAAGGCATGCAATCAACCAAGTAACCAAGCCAGAGCACCTGATCTATTAGGTTGCTGTTACGACCTGTTCTAACCTGGCATCCCCACCTTGTCACTAGTGAGTGAGTGAATAATGCAACCACACAGTGGCCTGTAATTAGTCGAGTTTGGACCAGGCAAACCAGTGACTGAAAGAATGGGCAATGGTCCATAGCATCAGGACACTATGACACAAAAAGCCGAAAAGTTACAAAGCTCTACCTCAGTGACTGTTACTGTGTCTGAGTGGGGTATCAATGTTAAACTGGTATCTGGCATGGTATCTCAGTCATCTTGCACTATAAAACCACCATAAGTCTGGACTAGTAAAAGCAATCATGCACATGCATGCACATCGCTTATTAAGTGAAATAATCTTGAATGCGTTTTCTGTGTATCTTTGGCAACTTAAAAGTGTATTAATACCTATTATTCTGTAAACATTCTAATTACATTTTCAACACATTTTTAGAATTAATCCAATGAACTGTATATCTGTCCAGGTGTGTTGGTTAGATTATATGTGTCTTCACAAAGCAGTAGCATTTGCCTAGTTATTGGGACGACAGTGGAAACTTTCCTGGATGTTGGATATAGATCATGGATCAAGCTTATTCATGCATGTAGTTTACATAAGCCATCTATCTAGATTTATGATGTACTTGGGAGTGACTTGAGTGAGACATGAGGGAAGTAAATCGCTTATTTCTGCCGAGGGACGATATACTGATATTATGGCTCTTAAGATATGGCCACTCTGGAGAAGAAATGACGTCACTTGGATTCCAGTGGCATCATTAAACAAGTTTGCACCACTCATGATTATATGAACTCTCATTCCCTCGATGAAGTAACCATTGTATTTGACAAGAAGTATCAAGACCAGACGGCTTCCCATGGTCTTTGGTGATATACAATAGTCTAATAACTACAAAAAGGACTTTTTGTGAATCAAGGAATAGAATTTATGATGTATGTGTCCATTCTCTGACAAATAATGTTTATTTCAAGGTGTTGATAGCAGTAATCTGATTATGGTTGCTGAAATTTTTTAATAATTCTTACGAAACTTCTACCTCTATTACATATCTGCCATAAATCCTGTATTTTGGCTTCAATCACACTAACTAAAATTTTCAGATTTTCAACAGACGTCCTCTTCACTGTCAATTACACACAATTAGTTGTCGCCAAATACTCTCGTAACTACCCATGCCATAACATCACAATGATAACTATATATTGTTCGATATCCGTGAGTTAGTGCCATTTGCCATTCAGTTCACACCTGAATTTTGCTGAAATTAATATAAATAATGTTGAATTAAATTTTGAAGAAAACGAATAAAATTAATTAAGATAAAGCCAGATGCAACTGTTCATGTATAGGTTACCTCCTTCTTCGAGGTGTCATCGGAGAGCATTGAAGTCCATATCGCCCACAGAGGCGGGGGTAGGGGTTAGCGCCAACCAACTTATACCAAATGGGCAACTGTTCACTTTCCGCGATTATGCAAAATTGTGAACCAAGGCTTAATCCTCTCTCGTCCTCATCAAATTGTTACAATCTCTGCACGTTGTAAATATGGGGTTGTTACGAAGAAGAACGACCTGCTGAAACAATTAACACAATGCACACTTGTATAATTCCAGAGAGTGTTGTAGCAGGACTAACTTCCATACTTCACTTAAGATTTATTTGACATGCTATTATTGGTTTTAAATGCTCACTGTAATGTCATTCCTCAGGGAAACAAACCAAATCTCTGAACACACAATGCCATTTAGAAAGTGGTCAAATGTTACAAATGTTATATTTGGGATAACACTTAGTAAAGTACAAATTCTCGTACTTTTATGGGTTAAGTCCGTGGGGAAAAAAAAAAGTATGAGAATTTGTACTATACTCAGAGAGTGTTATCTCAAATATAACATTTGTCAGATCAAAACTCATTGGCTGTGTGTATAATGCACTTGCCCTCTACACATCTGTATTTGTTCAGAAAAAGGTAGCTTTTATTCCACGAGCCGGAAACTTATATTATTTCATATCCATAAGAAACAATCTGCAAATATCCTTCAATCTTTGATCCAGGGGGAGCTCTCTGCCAGATCACTGACTAGAGTTACCACCCTTATGCCTTGTGTTTCCTTCCCACATAATAAGCAACACGTATTTGCAATAAAAATACTTTACGTTTCTGTTTCTGCAGGAAGGATATTGAAATGACAAGTCGGGAGAAGAACACACTGCAGATACAGAGCAACAAGCATCAGCAGGCCGCAGCTGAAATACAGGACAGGTGGGTACACAGAGGTAGCCTGGCAGCCCGTGGCTAGCAATAATTTCAAAGGGCTTGTAGAATTTAGGCAGGTATGTGCCTTGTTGTCTGGTTCAATTTCAAAGAAATTTTACCTCCCGAGTGAAATTATACCTGCACTTTGCATTTGGGATTCACCAAACACTGTATTTTGTTGAACATGTCACAACCATGAACAAAACATTGAAATAGATATTTTCAACAGAAACAATACAGGTCCCTATGAAAGAGGTATACAGTCGGGCTGGGACTGGTAACTCAGGCACCCGGGTCAGGTGGGTCCTGAATAGGACCCAGGTACCCACAGTACTACCTGGACCTGTGGTTAGTCACGTGATATATTGTTTAAGGACAAATACTCATTATAGCTCAGTGGTTACACCACTAGTCGGTCCAAATCAAATCTAACATGATTAAAAAATGAAATAAAAAAAATAGAAATATGTAACAGACTTATCTTTTCATACAACAAAACAGCATGAATGTTCCATAATGCCACAGCATGGTCAATAATGAAAATACACCCAAAATCATGACAATTTCGATATGGCTGCCATGGCTCACCATAATTAAAATCATATTGGAACTCGGACCTTTTTAGACACTAGGGTGTGATCCTCAATGCAAAGATTCAGCATCATGGGTTCGACAGGAGATGAGAAGGTAGTACTATATGCCTGAGAATGTTTTAACTGACACACTCAGAGGAGGTGTTGCAGATGTGGATGGTTTCAACCATTAGCTTCCAACTACCCCTCAGTTAGAAGCGAATTGAATGAAAGTTGAATGAAGATGATATGAAATATCTCCCTAGACTAAGCGTGGAGAGTGACAAGAGTCGGAAGCTTGTGGAAGAGACGACCTTACTTCAGCGACAGGTCACTGGCCTTGAAGCTCAGCTTCACTCAGCAAAGATGGCTGCCACCATGAAAGGCCCGAACAACTCTGAGCTGCTTCAGCGGAACGTCGAGGGCCTCACTCGAGAGAATGAGACACTGAAACATCGGTGAGTCATGGGGTATTTTCCATGAAAAGATGCCTAACATAGCCACAAAGGCTGTGTATTTGCCAAAAATTGTATTGCAGTATTTTGCAATATAGGTATCTGTATAGCGATCAGTACCGGTAATGTATATATTGGGAACTAATGTGTTTGACAGTGATTGACACTGATTATACATGCGGATTCTATTGCTATGATGTCGGTAGACAACATAGTGGTCACAGTTAGAGGGGAGATAACAATGTGAGAGAAAATAACTTCCGCTTTTCTGACATTTTGTCAATCAATTTCAAAGGGAAACATTATTTGTGAATGAATTTCTGTGTAGAATTTAGACTAAATGATACAAATAACAATGAAATTTATTTTATATTTTTAACTCCAAATACTCAAGCACAGAAAAAGCATTGCAATACGAATTGTTTGAAAAGCGTATTGAAGTACACCAGTAAACCAGTAATAATGTGCAGTCTCAATCACCACCAAAGCAATTTTGTTCATGAAACAATACATCAATGAAATGCGAGACTCCAGGTGTCGTATCACAATTTATTACCTACGAGGGCAAACATATTGGGGTTCATAAAAATCGTATGTGCCCTAGGGTCATATCAGGTCACGAGACAACAGTGTATCATTTCCATCATCCAGACAGCATTGTTGACATCATTTGTATCTTATTGTGACATGAGGTGGGAATGACGTCACACTAGGACCGATGTCATAGCTGAAGATTGTTGACGTCATTTAACAAATTGTAGTTCCGCTACTGTTGCGACTTGCTGTTCTTATAGGTAAACACTAAAGTTGGTTTCTGTATGTAGACATCTTCTTCAGTAATAAATAGAACATTATATTCATGTTCATGTCATACTATGTGTACAACACTCGTGCCTAAATTCCGGTTTATCCCTCGCTTTCGCTTGGGAAATACCAGAATTTTGACACTCAGGTCATGAACATAGTATGACATGAACACTCATATACTATCCTTTATATATTTTGATGCACCCAAACCTCAATGAATTGTCACAGTCCTGATTAACATATATTTGTAGGTATGAGGTGGAACAGGTCGCTCGCCAGGAGGCAGAGGACCGCGTCCAACAGCTGATGAAGAAACTCGAGTTCAACGACCAGGTCAATGCACAACATGTCCTTGAACTCCGGAACCGAGTGGAGACATCAACAGGAACTATCCTGAGTCTGGAGGCCAAGGTCCGGGAACTCAGCAAGAATGACACCTCCATGGGCGATCTGCTGAAGAGTGTACGAGAAGCCTCTGAAGCGGAGTTCAAGAAATACCAGATGGAGTCTGATGTAGAATATAACAGAAATGTGAGTTTCGTTGCACTGACATTTGGATTATGGAAATTGTCCTTTACCTTTATCAAGATGATGTGAAAATGTGTTTCCTGTCATTTTTTAAATAATAAGTTTCTATAATTAATTGACGCTACATCTACAGGCACTGTGTAGTCAGGTAAGCATAAAAACACTGCATTTAATCAGAAATGCTCATATTATTCAGAAGCAGAGACATAGTTAAATTCCAGATTGAAAAAGGTTTCCTTTAAGAAGGGTCTGCCATTGGAAGCCCTGCTTCATACATTCATTATGGTATACAGTAAAACAGCATGCCATTGTGAATTCCACAGAAACATTCACTGATCTCAATGATCATGAGGCTAAACTAGTACCTGTATGTGCAGATTGCAGCCCTGAGGGTTCAGTTGGACAACGATGCAGGGACGATCGAGCGTCTTCAGACAGAGATGACCCAGCTGGAGGGGTCAGCAGGGGAGATGAAGGCCAGGGTCAGGTCACTGGAGGGACAGGTCAGTTAACACACACTATGCTTTTACAGTTCTGTTGTGAAAGGAGACTAAAGACGAGATTTGGTAAAATGGAGCCCTCTATCCCACTATATTGTAAAAGGAGACTAAGGACGAGTGGGTAAAATGGGCCCCTGTGACCATTCTGTTGTAAAAGGAGACTAAAGTGAATTGGGTAAAATGGGGCCTCGTATCCCATTCTGTTGTAAAAGGAGACTAAAGAGAATTGGGTAAAATTGGCCCCTGTGACCCATTTTGTTGTAAAAGGAGACGAAAGAGAGTTGGATAAAATGGGGCCTCGTATCCCATTTTGTTGTAAAAGGAGACTAAAGAGGGTTTGGTAAAATGGGCCCCTGTGACCCATTCTGTTGTAAAAGGAGATTAAAGAGAATTGGGTAAAATGGGACTTCGTATCCCATTTTGTTGTAAAAGGAGACTAAAGAGGGTTGGATAAAATGGGGCCATGTATCCCATTCGTGTCAGCACACATGTTGCACAGAAGGACACTGTGAGGGGCACAACCTGTTCAGTAACAATCAAACAAGGGAGGTAATCCATGACACTCAGTGCTCTGCTACAGTTCAAATGGGTGAATTTGTTGGGGGTGTCTCACCTTATTTCCAACAAATAATAGTGTATCTACCTGTTATAAGTTATAGTCATCAACCCAACATATACTATATTTGTACATATATTTAATTCTTAGTTTAGAATTATAGCACATTTCATATTTAAATATTACTTTGAATATTTAAAAACAAAATGTTTAATATCTTCCAAAACATAAGCCAAGGAATTAATCTTCGATTTTCCGATTGAAAATATAATCTTCCATACAAGTTTTCAGTATCTTGAAAATGACTGCAGAAAGTTGATAATGTGATATTTCTGGCTTCCAGCTGTCAAACATGGAACACCAGAGGAAGTCCCTCGAGGATATGTTGGGAATAGAACGCAGCCGTTCTGCAGAAAACATCCGCACCCTGGAGAAGAAGCTACGTGAGGTGCAGGAGGTCCTCTTCACCAAGATAAAGGAGGCCACATCCATACGGGAGGCCAACGTCCCGCTCAAGGCCGAGATAGAGTCTCTCAAGCTACTCCTGGAGGAAGAGGAGAAGAGGTGAGCTGTGTAGAGAGAGAATGAATTGGGGAAAGTTTGGGAGGTGCAGGTGAGGAGATGGGCTGAATTCATGAAGGGAAGGGGCAGTTTGGGAGAGGCAAGGGAGGTGAGGAGAAGGGCTGAATTCATGAAGGAAAGGGCTGAATTCATGAAGGAAAGGGGAGTGTGGGAGGTGCAAGTGAGGTGAGGAGAAGGGCTGAATTCATGAAGGAAAGGGGAGTGTGGGAGGTGCAAGGGAGGTGAGGAGAAGGGCTGAATTCATGAAGGAAAGGGGAGCGTGGGAGGTGCAAGGGAGGTGAGGAGAAGGGCCGAGTACAGGAAAGAAAGGGGAGTGTGGGAGGTGCAAGGGAGGTGAGGAGAAGGGCTGAATTCATGAAGGAAAGGGGAGCAAGGGAGGTGAGGAGAAGGGCTGAGTACAGGAAAGAAAGGGGAGTGTGGGAGGTGCAAGGGAGGTGAGGAGAAGGGCTGAGTACAGGAAGGAAAGGGGAGTGTGGGAGGTGCAAGGGAGGTGAGGAGAAGGGCTAAATTCATGAAGGAAAGGGGAGTGTGGGAGGTGCAAGGCAGGTGAGGAGAAGGGCTGAGTACAGGAAGGAAAGGGGAGTGTGGGAGGTGCAAGGGAGGTGAGGAGAAGGGCTGAATTCATGAAGGAAAGGGGAGTGTGGGAGGTGCAAGGGAGGTGAGGAGAAGGGCTGAGTACAGGAAGGAAAGGGGAGTGTGGGAGGTGCAAGGGAGGTGAGGAGAAGGGCTGAATTTATGAAGGAAAGGGGAGTGTGGGAGGTGCAAGGGAGGTGAGGAGAAGCGCTGAGTACAGGAAGGAAAGGGGAGTGTGGGAGGTGCAAGGGAGGTGAGGAGAAGCGCTGAGTACAGGAAGGAAAGGGGAGTTTGGGAAAGGGGGAGGTGCAAGGGAGGTGAGGAGATGGGCTGAATACAGGAAGGGATGCGGAGTTTGGGAGTTGTAGTTAAGGAGATGGGCTGAGTACAGGAAGGAAAGGGGAGTTTGGGAAAGGGGGAGGTGCAAGGGAGGTGAGGAGACGGGCTGTATACAGGAATGAAAGGGGAGTTTGGGAAAGGGGGAGGTGCAAGAGAGGAGATAAAGTATGGAATGGGGCAGAAAGGTTGGTGTGTGAGAAGAAAGATTGGCATGGCAGGAGGGATGATGAGTTGAAGTGGGCCCAAGGTAGAATGAAAGAAAGAGAATGCTTGGGTGGTGCCAGAGATGAACCAGAATCTTCTTCTGAATCTAAATACAACTCAAATATTGGTTTTAATATCTCAGTTACTTTATCATAATCCCTGAATTAGCTCCCTTCTATTTATCTGACAGGAATTGTATCTGTTTCACAGACTGCGAGTTCAAGTGAATGTTGGCACAACACAACCGACCTCTGTGCCCGTGACTTTCGAGAGACCTCTACCCCCTACCGCCTACCCCTACTCAACCTCCCCACCGGCCATGGGGAACTTCAACACGTCCCTTGCTGCTTCGTCTTCCTACATCCCAATCATGCCACCAACCTACCCCGGAGACCCAATCTCCTCCACTGCCTTACCGGACTACACCATACCCCTTGGGACCACCTCACCGTACGAACCGGACTTCACCACAACCCATATCCCCAACTATCTGGACCCTACTGAGCCCACTATTGAGTTCCCTATGGCCACCTCCAAGTACATGTACGAGACGTCGCCCAGTGTGAACCGGTTGCAGGTGGAACCATCACCTCCTGAAACACCTCGTGGTCCAGTCACCTCACACAAATATCAGAGGGCAAAGTCGGCTCCAGGTAGGATCTCCAGTTAGGCTGTATAATTTTTTGACTGACCATCAAAAACCCTGGAATTAGAAAAGAAATAAAAGCAGGAGGAACATTTATCCAGTCTGTTAATTTACTTGCCTCAACTAACACCTCTCACCCAACAACTGAACCCTTGTGCTCTCAGCTAAATCCTTGCACCCTCAACCAAGCCCCTCTCACTGTCAGCTAACCCTCTCACCGTCAACTAACCCTCTCACGCTCAGCTCATCCTCTCACCATCATCAGCTAGACCCTTCTCACCCTCAGCTAACCCTCTCACCATCAACTAACCCTCTCACGCTCAGCTCATCCTCTCACCATCATCAGCTAGACCCTTCTCACCCTCAGCTATCCCGCTCACCCTCAACTAAACCCTTTTCAACCCCCGCTTTCCTTCTGACCCCCAGCTTTCCTTCTGACCCTCAGTTAACCCTCTCTCACCTCAGCTCAATCCTACTCACCCTCAGTTAACCCTCAGTTAACACTTCTCACCCTAAACTAAGCCCCTCTCACCTTAACCCTTCTCACCCTCAGCTAACCCTCTCTCACCTCAGTTTCAGGGCCAAGGAGTCACAACCTACCCCTGGTTCCCACCTCCCTGGGGCAGGGCAAGGACTACTTTGATGAGATGTTCCAGGACCTACAGAGGGACACTCTCTACAGCTCCCTCCGCCCCAAGAGCAGCCCCCTCGAGCGTCCTCCCAGCTCCACCTACCATGACTACACCGTTGCAACATCCAGGTGAGTCTTCATCTCACTTTCAGCCAACAAGGCATTTTTTTTTTTAATAATTTGACCTACGACCCCCAAACTAAAATTTCAGAATGTGGACGATATTTTGAGTCCAGTCTCTTTTTGTTCAAACTCAGTCTGATTTGTACATACAGTAGAACACGGATATAACGAACATGGATAGAGTGAAGAAACGAATACAACAAACTGTTACAAAACCCTGATATATCTCCTCTATATCATCATATAAAATGTACATAACAACAAACTTTCTACAGTAAACTAGCATATATAGCGAGCTGATATGTGATCCCGAAAGCTCAAATACCACTTATTACTGACATGTATAGCAAACTGAGAAATCTCATTCAAGTGTCAAGTGTCACTGACAATTGACTATAAGCAATCAGCTGCGAATTGCGGTGAATCAATATGATCAGCAGTGACGATTCAACCTTGTTACCTGTAATTGGACTAATCTTATCTGTAAAACAAACATTAAACATATAAATTTCATGAGATTGTGTCAAAGTGTCAGTTCATTTGCACATGCTATCATGGTTGACAATAGTGAGAGGAAAGCTGTCAGTCTAGATACGAAGTTGAGAATTACAAATGCTGTTGATGCAGGCATAAAAGTTAAAAAAACAATTGCAATGGAATTTGACATTCCAAAATTAACATTGAGTAATATCCTTAAGCTCTTGAAACACTCAAGATTTTCCTGAATACGCAAAAGTAGACTGAGAAAACATCATTCGATATTTGGCTGATCTCATCAAGGCAGTTTCACGAATGCTGTCAGCAAAACGAGGCCAGAGCAAAATCACCGACTACACATCTTCCTGTATATAAATCCTGAAATGCTAAATGCATATTTGATGAACAATGTTCTAAAAATGTTATATATAATATGTTACTAAATGAATGTTATGAAATGTTAATAATTGAATGTTATGAAGTGATCACTGCTAATACAAGTCTATGCTGCAATTTTTTGTGTTGTGTTTTATCTAAGTTGACAGACATTTCAGAGCGAGAATGTATATAACGAACAACATATATAATAAACTGATTTCTCTGTTTGTAATTTCGTAAAATCCATGTTCTGCTGTATATAATTTCAGAATTGAAAAATGTTTCAAAGTAGGTCAGTATGGGAATGGAAGTAAACCTTTGACATATAGCAAAATGATAAAAAAATAGCAGACATGTTTGGTGTTTTTATTCAACCTAGTACTTTATTTAAGTCACTTGGTTTCCAGATCCCTGAAGCGACACTTTGCAAATTTAGAATACACTTAAAGCCATCATGAGTCTTTCTTTTGTCCTGATGGGCGTTAGCTAATTTGAACAATGTTGAAAACTTCAAAGTAGGTTTTTATTAGATGCCTAGCTGCCAACTGCCCCAAGTGATTCATATTTGTTACGAATTTATAGGAAATAGGAAACTATGATTTCTTCCTGAATTCATACAAATAATGTGGCAATGTGTGAAAAATATTTTTAGGACTAAATTTTCATAGACGTAAGTGATGATCATTATTTAGCCTGACAATAGTAATAGTGTTTCATTTGTCCTCTCTCTTATCGGAAGTTGCTGTAGTCGAAATAGAAACTAAGTGCTTTAATTATAGACTGTGTGTCGTAATCACATGGCTGTACTGTTATGTAGACGATACCATGCTGTAACAAAATACTAATTTGGGAAAGTTGGCAGCTACGAAGAAGGGAAGTAACCCAGTGACTTGACTGTCAGTACACAACATTCTTCGTCAAATCAGTGTTAGTAGTGTCAGCTGATAGTTCTATGAGTAGAGTTGACTCTGACACTACTAAGAGAACACATTAAATATGATTATTATGTGTTATGTAAGCAGAGGAATAAATAAAAGCCTAATATTGATATGAAACACACTTCTATAATAATGGTCAGTCTGTGCAAATGACCTACTATTTCTACCCCTAGCCCCAACCACACCATCGTAGTCAGCCAATACACCTACAGGTAAGATACAAGGGTTCTGTGTGCACATGTGTGATGGCATCCCTTGGTGAAGCTTATGGTGTCCTTGTTGAAGCTTATTGTGTCTTTGATGGAGCTTATGGTGTCTTTGGTGGAGCTTATGGTGTCCCTGGGTGGAGCTTAGGGTGTCCTTGGTGGCGCTTACGGTGTCCTTAGTGGAGCTTATGATGTCCTTGGTGAAACTTATGGTGTCCTTAGAGGAGCTTATGGTGTCCTTGGTGGTGCTTATGGTGTCCTTGGTGAAGCTTATGGTGTCCTTGGTGAAGCTTATGGTGTCCTTAGTGGAGCTTAGGATGTCCTTGGTGGTGCTTATGGTGTCCTTAGTGGAGTTTATGGTGTCCTTGGTGAAGCTTATGGTGTCCCTAGTTGGAGCTAACGGTGTCCATGGTGAAGCTGATGGTGTCCCTAGGTTGAGCTTAGGGTGTCCTTGGTGAAGCTTATGGTATCTTTGGCAAAGCTTAGGGTGTCCTTGGTGAAGCTTAGGGTATCATTGGTGCAACTTATGTTGTCCCTAGGTGGAGCTTAGGGTGTCCTTGGTGAAGCTTATGGTATCTTTGGCAAAGCTTAGGGTGTCCTTGGTGCAACTTATGTTGTCCCTAGGTGGAGCTTATGGTGTCCTTGGTGAAGCTTATGGTGTCTTTGGTAAAGCTTAGGGTGTCCTTGGTGAAGCTTAGGGTGTCCTTGGTGAAGCTTAGGGTGTCCTTGGTGCAACTTATGTTGTCCCTAGGTGGAGCTTATGGTGTCCTTGGTGAAGCTTATGGTGTTTTTGGTCAAGCTTAGGGTGTCCTTGGCGAAGCTTATGGTGTCCTTGGTGAAGCTTAGGGTGTCCTTGGTAAAGCTTAGGGTGTCCTTGGTATAGCTTATGGTGTCTTTGGTAAAGTTTAGGGTGTCCTTGGTGAAGCTTACGGTGTCCTTGGTGAAGCTTACGGTGTCCTTGGTGACCTTGGTGAAGCTTAGGGTGTCCTTGGTGAAGCTTACATTGTCCTTCGTGAAGCTAAGGGTGTCCCTAGATTGAGCTTAGGGTGTCCTTGGTGAAGCTTATGGTGTCTTTGGTAAAGCTTAGGGTGTCCTTGGTAAAGCTTAGGGTGTCTTTGGTAAAGCTTAGGGTGTCCTTGGTGAAGCTTACGCTGTCCTTGGTGAAGCTTAGGGTGTCCTTGGTAAAGCTTAGGGTGTCCTTGGTGAAGCTTAGGGTGTCCTTGGTGAAACTTATTGTGTCCTTGGTGAAACTTATGGTGTCCCTGGGTGGAGCTTAGGGTGTCCTTGATGAAGCTTATGGTGTCCTTGGTAAAGCTTACTGTGTCCTTGGTGATGCTTATGGTGTTCTTGGTGAAACTTATGGTGTCCTTGGTGAAACTTATGGTGGAACTTAGGGTGTGCTTGGTCAAGCTTATGGTGTCTTTAGCAAAGCTTAGGGTGTCCTTGGTGAATCTTATGGTGTCCTTGGTGAAGCTTATGGTGGCCTTGGTGAAACTTATGGTGTCCCTAGGTGGAGCTAAGAGTGTCCTTGGTGAAGCGTATTGTGTCCTTGGTGAAGCTAAGGTGAAGGTCAGGTAGTTCATGGCTGGGTCCAGAGACAGGGTTGAGAAGTAGTGCTGGGAATTGGTGAGGCTGACTGTTTATGAACCACTTTTTCCCGATCACCGACCACATTGATTATGATTGGTTACAAATAGTTTGGATATTTTCCTGATATTACTGGGTGGTGGACTAGTGGGTAAAGTGTTTGCTTGTCTTGAGACATACCTAGGTTCAATCAATGCAATGATTTTAAAGCATTGTCAACTGCATGCGAAACATAAGCTACATTGTGCATGAACTGTCATTGAAGTGTTTTAGAGTTACCTCCCTTCCTGTGCACCAACACACCTGCAATTCATCCTCCCTGTATTCCTATGTAACCCCTCGCACTGGTAAATGAGGAAGGGTAAGTGCACTCCAGTAGGGGTGCTAGGGCTTGTCCTCGTCACTGAATGGGGGGTGAGTGGCCACACTGTAATTCACAACCATTGATTCAAAGTTATGATAATATCAAATACAGCGTTAAATTCACAGCAAAAGAATGTGATTTTTGTTTGCATATGATATCTCATTATTTTACTTTTATGATAAGCAGTAAATTATTTTACTCTAAGCAGTGCTTGATAGAAATCCAAAGACATGGAGAGATATGTATCAATGATACACTCACACTGTGATCTCTGTCTGAGGGCGGTGATGGGGAGGTAGGACACTAGTGTGTCACCTCACTCCACACACTTGCTGCGTGAACACTTTCCTTCTACTTTACACCATGCTGGTGTCAATTGACAAGTTCCTCAACCTTCTGATAAAGCTCGGCTTTACCTTTGCTTTTCTTGCATGAGCTTCTTATCAGTATGCACATGAGTTCCTTATCAGGATGCACATGAGTTCCTTATCAGGATGCACATGAGTTCCTTATCAGGATGCACATGAGTTCCTTATCATGATGCACATGAGTTCCTTATCAGGATGCACATGAGTTCCTTATCAGGATGCACATGAGTTTCTTATCAGGATGCACATGAGTTTCTTATCAGGATGCACTGAGCTCCTTATCAGGATGCACATGAGTTCCTTATCAGGATGCACTGAGTTTCTTATCAGGATGCACATGAGCTTCTTATCAGGATGCACTGAGTTCCTTATCAGGATGCACATGAGTTTCTTATCAGGATGCACATGAGTTCCTTATCAGGATGCACATGAGTTCCTTATCAGGATGCACATGAGTTTCTTATCAGGATGCACATGAGTTCCTTATCAGGATGCACATGAGTTCCTTATCAGGATGCACATGAGTTCCTTATCAGGATGCACATGAGTTCCTTATCAGGATGCACATGAGTTCCTTATCAGGATGCACATGAGTTCCTTATCAGGATGCACATGAGTTCCTTATCAGGATGCACTGAGTTTCTTATCAGGATGCACATGAGTTTCTTATCAGGATGCACATGAATTTTTTATCAGGATGCACATGAGTTTCTTATCAGGATGCACATGAATTTCTTATCAGGATGCACATGAGTTTCTTATCAGGATGCACAGGATTGTCAGGACCAGACAATCCAGTAATTGATATCATGAGCATCGATCTATGCAATTGGGATACAATGACATGCATCTACCAAGTCAGCAAGGCTGACCACCCAATCCCGTTTGTCGCCTCTTATGACAAGCACAGTTGCCTTTTACGGGAAGCATTGGTTGCTGAAGACCTAGTCTACCCCAGGTCTACAGGTCTACCCTGTGATGTCCAAGCAGTGCATGGTTTCGAAAACAAAATGGAACGATTACAGTCAAAATCTGACAATATCTTAAAGCATCCCCAGTTACATGGTATGTGTCTTCCTTAGGGCAGGGACAGATCAAAAAGGTTGTGAGTAGATTAAGTGTAAGGTCAAGGTCACAGTGAAGGTATGTTTGCCATTTTGATATAAATGCCTTTTTCTGCAGATTTAAGATAAATCTTCTTCATGTAGTGAAAATCTTTTTCATGTAGTGATTAAATATTTTGAATACATTTGTATGACAAGTGCAGCATTAGAAATTGGCACTAGTCCTGTTGCCCTAGCCAAACTGCCCAATAGGTATCATAAGGACTAGTAGAAATTTGCCCTTTTTAAGGGTTTTGCTATATGTTATCATTATAAGGACTAGTTGATCAAACTTGTTAGTTTCTATCGCTGCAATTAAGTGATGACAATTTTATGATATCAGTGGAACGTCACTGTGACCTACTTTAAATGTGCAGCATATGCGATGTTTTCATTGTTGAATTGAATTCCACCTAGGGACATCGTATATGGTTTTATGTATATGCTGGATAGCCTTTGGAATGTTCTTGAAATATTTGTCCCTTATATTTGGAATCAAATTCATTCTCAAGGTAACTCACTTAGATAATAAACCTACCGTGAAAGTTTGAAACTGAAGGTAGTTTATTAACCTGTAGATTAGATACGATTAATTTTAATTTGGAACCGCTACCATCAGACTTGACGTTTGTTTGTTTGTTTGTTTGTTCATTGTTACATGCAGCACTCAGCAATATTCCAGCTTTATGACACAGTCTGTAAATAATTGAGTCTGGACCAGACAATCCAGTGATTGTCATCATGAGCATCATACCATGATGCAACTGAGATATAATAACATAGAATCATCCACATCACTGAACCTGACACCTGACGCCTCCTACGACAAGCATGGGTTATATACTCTTACCTGGAATCTCCTGGGTCAGATATGACTCTGTCATTACAGAGTAAATGACTTTTGCTTCCATTTTATGTTAGATAGAGGCCAAGTACTCTATTCTCGTATGAGGGAGCTTGTAGTAGGTAGGTATTTCACCAAATATGGTAATAGTCTAACGCTTAAATGTGTGATGTTATGTTATGATTTCTGGGGACTAGAAATTCTGAAGTGATCCTACTTCTGTTTTGCAAGTACATGCAAACACTTTTCTATTTTTTTATCGCTTTTCACATGTTAGGTCACTTATCTGTAAATAAAAGAATTAATGTTTGACGAACCGGAATCAGTCTGAAAGATCACCAGTTTATCAGTTTTGACATTCCTTACTGCTGTATTCAATCTACTAGCTACAAGACTGGCGGCTATTGATCTTGTGTCAGGTTACCATTATCAAGCCAGCATGAGGTCACTGACAGTATTTCGGTGTCATTTCGTGCAGAAGGTATTCAGTCTTATCTTGTGTCATTTCAAGTGTCAGATATATTGATTTACATTGTGAGGTTGAAAAGAAAACAAAAAACTATGACCCTTTGAGTATCCTCATACCCTTCCCACAATGCAACCTTGTGGTGGTGTCGTGTCATAGTTCCTGTTCAGAATTTTAACATGGTTATTATTCAAAATACTGTCCAGGGATCGATTTCGCATATCCAAGCTGCATCAGTGCAGGTGAAACATTGCTAGTGCAGGCAACTTGTATTGCCAGGTTGCACACAGTGCAGGTCACATTTTCCACCACAAGTGAATGGCAACTGTGTGTTTTATTTCATAATAGTGGAAAACTGAATTCTTTTAGAACTGGCTGCAAATCTTTTAGAATCCAGGTAACAAAAGTTCATGAAAATAGTGAAAATCACAGGTCTAAATGCAGTGAACTCACAAAACTAATTCTTCACAATAACCACAAGAACAGTCACTTGTGAGGTTACAATCACAACAAACAGACACTTTGAAACTTTTGTTTACTGGGTATCAAGATGTGAAAAGCCATATACAGATTTCCTCAAAATAACATACATTTTCAAGTTTATTTTCTTTTTGAATTTATTTAATCTTCAAAATAACTAAAAATACAGTGTTTCAATTTTTTTTTAAATGTGCAGCTGATATTTTGGTGGTGCAACCTGATTAATATACTTGTTTGCACCTGGTGCAGTTGGTAAAACAAAATGAAATTGTACCCTGCTGTCATACATGTACGGCTTTGTTTCTTGTATGAAGTTCTTAAACTTTTAATTGCAAGAAAATAATAAATATTTATCTTACATTTCCATGGAAATAGGCCGTCATGGAGATTCCTGGTAAGAATAGTTCCCTAGCAACTTATGATGGTAAAAGGAGGCAACTTATTGTATTAGATGGTTAGGTTCTGTGACATGGTTGGTTGTGTGTCATTGTTCCTTGACAGAGGGTTGCTCACAATAACACACAATCTCTGGATAGTCTGGTCCAGATTATGTACAGGCCGGTGTCATAGGGCTGGAAAATTGCTAAGTGTGGCGTGACACAAAGAACAAAAACAATGTAAATGGGAATTAGGTCTTCAAGGTACTTTGACCACATGTATAGACTTATCAATGGCTGGATAAGCATGACATCAAAGTTTCTGCTCTGATTTAATGATATTATTTTGAAGACCACACGGTTAATTTTCTTCTAAGATATTGTTCCCTGGTTGGTGTCAATAGTAGGTAGTCAAAAGATGCTGATTGGTGTGTTTCTCGAGTAGAAAGTCAAAGGGTTCTATAATTATGTCCCTTCCCACATACATGTTCATCTTTTACTGAGGATTTTTATACCACTGGAAATTTGTGAGAGCATGGCAAGAAAAAGACAGCTGCTGTTTTTTTTTGTAAATATGAATATTTGCGAAAAATTGGGTTTGCTCATCTGTAAATCAAGAAATAGAAGAAAAAATAATTAAGAATATTTGCCAGGGATTTGCCTGGAATAATCCAAGAACATTGTACGTGATATGATTGATTTGATAGTTGACAATGGTCTGATACAGATTTCTCTATCTAGTGCTATCAAATATATATTGATCATACGGCTGTCAGTCATGTACGGTCTTCAATAGAACACACAAGTCTCTTTTAAAAGCAAGGCTCCTTGAGTGACAGCCTGGCCCCACCATTATGCAACTTTAAAATGGTGGCAGTCATGAAGCCATATAGAGGCTGTCAGATCTGGCCCGGCAGGAAAGGTTGTGTGTAGGGCGATCGCTCCCTCCATGTGTAACACAATATGTCACAGCGCAGTATCACAGAGGAAGGTTAAAAGTCACAAACCTCTGCCTTTCAGACACAGTGTTGTAGTGCTAATCCCCTTATCAATGTTAGTGTTGGTACACTGCACAATAGCAGATCATTTGAATATAAATTAGCAGTAGCACCCGGCAGAGCTTGAGAGGGCTTAGCGGTTACCTGTACATAGAAACCAGCTCCTGTAGTTAGTGGCCACAGTTAGAGGTGGCGGGCTGATAAAACACTTCATCATTACACAGTAGTTTATTGCCAGACAGTCAACATGGTATTGGAAGGAGACTTAGGAATTCTGACATTCCATTGTGCTTGTTTCAAGGAGTAACTATGGAAGGGAAACGGTGTATGGTTGTAGGAATGGAAGAGGACAGGTTGGAGAGTCTTAGTTGTGGATGTTGGGAACAGTTTGACATTTAACAGTGCTGCTCAGTCCTAGAGTTAGTCCTGTGCTTGTGTTGGAGGATTTAGTCTGGAAATCCATCGTTCCATGCATTTTTTTGGTGTTTTCCTAAAGCACAATAGTCATTGGATGTTTTGGTTGATTTTATGTGTAACTGAAAACGTTGGAAGTTGTATCACTGCTAAACTCTAAGTTAATATTTGGAAATTGTCCTGACGAATACTGGAATACTTGCGCATCACACCCTAAACCACAGGATATTTGTGAACTCTCACATTGGCCTTTACCAGTGTCTTATTCCTATTTCATATGATATGTATGTGATGTGATAAAGAACGACCTTTTACAAAATTTGTAAGAGGATTGAAGTTGTAGTACTTTTTAGTGGGTAACATGGGGACAAGTTATATTTGATGATCAGAGTTATCTCCCCCTCATGCTCCTTTGAAGATCATTTGGGATATTTATGAAAATATTCTGGCATCCATACTGAAAGGAGTACATTCAGATCTTTGGTCGTGGATGCTGACAGGATTACAGGCTACATCCTCATCGCCAACATCATTGTGACTTATAAGTAGTGACTTTTGATAGTAGTGTCTGTTCCCACTGTGTTGTGGTGGGTGCTCTACGCCAGTATTCCTGACTCTAACACCATGGCTTGTGCCCGCAGTGCTATTGGAGATGTGAAGATCATGGAGGTCCAGCAAGACGGAAAATATGTCCGACTCCTCAACGATGGGGCACAGGTGAGAAAATCAATATTATCAATGAATGTGACATTTCAGCAAAGCCATATTAATAAGATGCCACAATCATGCCACTAATATTAGTGTTCTTTTTCAAACAGTTATTCCTAGTGTAGATACATTTAATATTTGTCTCTTCGATAACACTGAAAATTTCACTTTTAAAATATATGAAAACCAGAAAGGATGAGGTACCCCTTCGATCTGAAATCTTGGCTTGACAAAGGGATTGGGTGGTCAAGCATTGTGACATGGGGATTGGGTGGTCAGGCATTGTGACATGGGGATTGGGTGGTCAGGCTTTGTGACCTGGCTCATCAATTGTTGTCATACTATGATGTCACTGGTTTGCCTGGCCAAGACACAAAGGGTAGCGTTGTGGTTAAAGCGTCACACCGAAGGTCTTAGTATGATTCCACATTGTTTCAATATTTGATGCCCATTCTGGTGTTCCCTGCCGTGATATTCCTGGAATATTGCTAACAGTGGCATAAAATCCTGCTCACTCACAAAAGCAGGCCGACATGGTAATATTGTTGGAATATGGCTGTATGCATCATAAATATGAAATTTCTGCAATACTGTTCAGACCCAACATCCCAGTACTCAATCTGGCATATCAGTGACAAAAGAGCATCTTGTGCCGATGATAATCTGAGAGTAGCATGATGACAGGGTGTGTATTGGAACAGGAACTGGAGTTCGGAGGCTTCATGCTGCAGCAGAATGTGGGCGGCCACCCTGTGGCAGTGTACCGTTTCCCCCCTCGCACCAAGTTCCCATCCAACTCCACCATCACTGTGTGGTCAGGGATGAACGACCCCATCCTCCACCAGCCTCCCTCGGACTTTGTGTGGAAGGAACAGCAGAAGTGGGGCACTGGACCGGAGTGCACCTCCATCTTGTGTCGCCCTAATGGCCAGGTAGGGAGTTGATAATGTAGCCCCACGACCTAAGTGATAATGTAGCCCCAAGACCAAACTGATAATGTAGCCCCACAACCAAACTGATAACGTAACCCCACGACCAAACTGATAACGTTACCCCACGACCAAACTGATAACGTAACCCCACTACCAAACTGATAATGTTACCCCACGACCAAACTGATAATGTAACCCAAAGACCAAACTGATGACATAACCCCACGACCAAACTGATAATGTAGCCCCATTACCAATCTGATAATGTAGCCCCATTACCAAACTGATAATGTAGCCCCATGACCAATCTGATAATGTAGCCCCATTACCAAACTGATAATGTAGCCCCACGACCAAACTGATAATGTTACCCCACAACCAAACTGATAATGTAACCCCACGACCAAACTGATGACATAACCCCATGAACAAACAGATAATGTAACCGCATGACCAAACTGATAATGTTACCCCACGACCAAACTGATAATGTTACCCCACAACCAAACTGATAATGTAACCCCACGACCAAACTGATAATGTTACCCCACAACCAAACTGATAATGTTACCCCACGACCAAACTGATGACATAACCCCACGACCAAACTGAAAATGTAGCCCCATGACCAATCTGATAATGTAGCCCCATTACCAAACTGATAATGTAGCCCCACAACCAAACTGATAATGTTACCCCACGACCAAACTGATAATGTAACCCCACGACCAAACTGATAACGTAACCCCATGACCAAACTGATAATGTTACCCCACGACCAAACTGATAATGTTACCCCACGACCAAACTGATAACATAACCCCACGACCAAACTGATAATGTTACCCCTTGACCAAACTGATAATGTTACCCCACGACCAAACTGATAATGTAACCCAACGACCAAACTGATGACATAACCCCACGACCAAACTGATAATGTAGCCAAAGACCAATCTGATAATGTAGCCCCATTACCATACTGATAATGTAGCCCCACGACCAAACTGATAATGTTACCCCACGACCAAACTGATAATGTAACCCCACGACCAAACTGATGACGTAACCCCATGAACAAACAGATAATGTAACCGCATGACCTAACTGATAATGTTACCCCACGACCAAACTGATAATGTTACCCCACAACCAAACTGATAATGTAACCCCAAGACCAAACTGATAATGTTACCCCACAACCAAACTGATAATGTTACCCCACGACCAAACTGATAACGTAACCCCACGACCAAACTGATAATGTTACCCCACGACCAAACTGATAACCTTATCCCCACGACCAAACTGATAATGCAGCCCCATGACCAAACTGATATTGTAGTGCCACTACCAAACTGATAATGTAACAACACAACCTAACTGATAACGTAACCCCACGACCAATCTGATAACGTATTCCCACGACCAAACTGATAACGTAACTTCATGACCAAACTGATAACGTAAACCCACGACCAAACTGTTAATGTAACCACACAACCTAACTGATGATGTTGTCCAAACAGTGATAGAAGCCCTTCCTTCCTTGTAGGCCATAGCTTGGACGACTGCGGCTCATCGCTTCACACGTAATGCTTTCGAAGATGGGAAGGATGAGGAACAAGTTCAAGGTAAGATACTCAAAACATGATGTCCTAACATAATACTGAAATGTAATGATGTCCTTATGAAATTTTCAATATATTATTTAAGTTTCTCTACAGGTAGGTAATTTCAGGTACGGTAGGTTGTTCAGAGCTATCAACATTTTGTAGGTCTTCTGAACTGAAAGTTCAAATCGGCTAAGTCATCTTGTCCAATGTCTGAGATGAGCTACAGAGCCTTTTCAAATTATATTTATTTAGTTTGTTAAAGAGCCTAATCTGCTTTGATATAAGTTCAATAAATGTTAAAATGTCCATGTTTTATCAAAAAGTATATTTTCTTGGCTAAATTAGGCCACCAGTCCCACCACAAGATTTATAAGTTTCTGTCTTGTGAACAGAATGATAAAAAAATAAGCACTGGTGACCTTGTCTTTTTGAAATTACCCTGATGAGTTTTTTATAATAGGCTAAAATAGCAGTGATCACCAAAGTCTCAGCTCACCATCATAAGATCCGGGGTAGAATAGGTCTTCAGCAACCCATACTTGCCGTAAAAGGCGACGATGCTTGTCGTAAGAGGTGACTAACGGGATCGGGTGGTCAGGCTTGCTGACTTGGTTGATGCATGTCATTGTATCCCAATTACGTGGATGGATCTTCATGATGTCAATCACTGGATTGTCTGTTCCAGACTTGATTATTTACAGACTGCCATCATAAAGCTGGAATATTGCTGAGTGTGGCATTAAACAACAAACAAACAAACAAATCGCCATCGCAAAGCACTAGTAATCAGTGATGATAATGAAAACACACAAAAGGCCAGAATTTCCTGAAATGAAATCTGGCAGCCATCAACTCAAGGGTGTAGCTCATGTCTGTGTATGAACTTGTAGCACTGGATCTGGTGAAGGATGACGACCTTGACCTCACACCCAGGGAGGATGAGTCCTTGACGGAAATTAACGTTGATGTTGGAAACAAGCAGGACCATGTGTACCTCCGCAGGTGAGATGCAGTACTGAGCTTCATTGGGTCTTCAACAGGAGCGGGTGATTGAGTTGGGTTCAGTGACCGTCTGAACAGTATTTAAACATCTAAATGTAACACGTTCAGTTCAGACCAATTGCAATATGTCTGATTTCAGACGTCTGCCTCAGACTCAGCAGTCTTTGTACTATGAGTGTTGTACCTCTTTTACATCGACACCTACTGTTGTTATAGTGCCAGCATTGTTGTGAGAAAGGAACCCAGATGAAGCATATTTATTTCTATACTATGTTTGACTTGGAAACAATATTGAATGTTTTTACATTTGATGTGACATATTTGACCCGTATTGTCTGATCCAATATTTCTTGCAACAGAGAGAAGCAGCCACCTCCATCTCTTTCTGCCCAGCGCCACCCCCACGGGAGCAGCTCCGCCCAAGCCTGTCACCCTCACAATGGCCAGTCCCGCCCACTCATGTATGGCAATGACAACAGCACCTGGAGTCGTCAGTCCCGACAGCAGTCCACTCGGCCAGATCCAATACCTGGTGGGTGCCAAACAGTACATTCTTAGATAAGCATCTCGTTGGCCGGTTTGTACAGGTCCCTGCACCCTCTGCCTGCTGTAAGAGGTGAGGGGCGGTCGGGTAGCCTAGTGGTTAAAGCGTTCGCTCGTCACACCAAAGACCCAGGTTTGATTCCCGACATGGGTACAATGTGTGAAGCCCATTTCTGGTGTCCCCTGCCATGATATTGCTGGAATATTGCTAAAAGCAGCATTAAACCATACTCACTCACTGTAAGAGGTGACTAAATGAGGTCAGATGATCAGGATCTGTGATTGTGTGTCCTTCGTGCCCTGATGGCATGGTTTGTCTGGGCCAGCCTTGATCATATACACATAGCTGTGATGGGCACAGGTGGTCCAATTGTCTGAGGCACAGCAATTCACTGTTCAGAGTTGCCTCCCTTAGGTGTGCCAGAAACCTGTGATCTTGGGTTTGACTGCCATTTTCACCCTGATTACGTTTCTTGGTTTGAAAGAACCAATACCTGTGCTTGTGGGTGGTAAATGTTATATCTTTGGGCTTTCCGCCCACAAAGTGGACAAGCTGTAATAGGACTTAAATACAGTTCACAGTGGCACCAAACTGAACACACTCACTCACATACAGCTGTGATATAAGCACTCACTCACTCACTCATAAGCCTTATACCTTAAACTGTCAGGTTAATTAGTATAAAAAGAATTGAAAAACATTTTAGCAAGCATAATAACAAGATGATATTCAAAAACTATATTTTCAACCAAACACAGACTTTTTTCCCCCTCAGGTTATTAATCCAGACATAAGAAACCTGTTCTTTGTTGCCCCTGAATAAGACATGATGTTATTCCAGGTCAACCTTATGCAGGTGCTGCTGCCCAGAGAATGGGAAGTGCTCCGCTCCGGAAATACTTGGCCCAGAGTGCAACAGTGAAAGGAAGTGGAACTGTGGCCAATCGCTCGGTATGTGTATTGTCTGGTGTGTGATGATTGTAGACCTGTGAGAATGTCAAGGCACGCTGCTTCCATCACTGAACCAAATCTGTCCCTGTTAAACTGGCTGTGGTACTCTTTACTTGAGAAGCTGTGTGTTTATAACAAAACTAATCATATATAACCCTTCATGATGTTCAAACATTTTATGTTTTGTCAGCATCTCTTCTTTTTATATATTTATTGAGTTTATATTTCAGAACGTGCATTAGGCAGAGTAGGCTTATTTGAATTGGCTATTTCATATCTCTGTGGTTAATGGTCATTGTGTTATTATTGTGTTGATTATATATCTTGCTGACTCTACTTTGTGTATATAGATGATGTTGCTTATACTCCATATGTGTACCATGTATTAACTATGCTTCTAACATGGTCACTGGTGTTAATTACTGTACATGACTACATGTATAACTTAATTACAGTATATGACTACATGAATAACTTAATTAATGTATATGGCTACATGCATAACTTAATTACTGTACATGACTACATGTATAACTTAATTACAGTATATGACTACATGAATAACTTAATTAATGTATATGGCTACATGCATAACTTAATTACTGTACATGACTACATGTATAACTTAATTACAGTATATGACTACATGAATAACTTAATTAATGTATATGGCTACATGCATAACTTAATTACTCTATATGGCTACATGTATAACTTAATTACTCTATATGGCTACATGTATAACTTAATAACAGTATATGACTACATGTATAACTTAACTACAATATATGACTACATGTATAACTTAATTACAGTATATGACTACATGTATAACTTAATTACAGTTTATGGCTACATGTATAACTAAATTACAATATATGACTACATGTATAACTTAATTACAGTATATGACTACATGTATAACTTATTTACAGTTTATGGCTACATGTATAATTTAATTACAGTATATGGCTACATGTATAACTTAATTACAGTTTATGGCTACATGTATAATTTAATTACAGTTTATGGCTACATGTATAATTTAATTACAGTTTATGGCTACATGTATAATTTAATTACAGTTTATGACTATATGTATAATTTAATTACAGTATATGACTACATGTATAACTTAATTACAGTTTATGGCTACATGTATAATTTAATTACAGTTTATGGCTACATGTTTAATTTAATTACAGTTTATGGCTACATGTATAATTTAATTACAGTTTACGGCTACATGTATAATTTAATTACAGTTTATGGCTACACCATAACTTAATTACAGTATATGGCTACACCAATAACTTAATTACAGTATATAGCTACACCAATAACTTAATTACAGTATATAGCTACACCAATAACTTAATTACAGTATATAGATACACCAATAACTTAATTACAGTATATAGCTACACCAATAAATTAATTACAGTATATAGCTACACCAATAACTTAATTACAGTATATAGCTACATGAGTAACTTCAACCCCATGGGGAACGCGGGTTAGAATCGGTCCCCATGTATGCTGGTTGTAAGAAACAATGAAATGGATTGGGTGGCCTGGCTCGTTGACTTGGTTCATTGCATGTCATAGTACCCTGATAGTGGGGATCGTTGTTCACAATATCAGTAACTGGAATGTCTGGTCCAGACAGGAAACTGTCATATAGCAGGAATATAGCTGAGGACAATGGTTCACTTGTTCAAACTTGTTCAGTGAAGAATTTCAGTCTTTTTCTGAGATCTATCTGTTGGGAAAAACTCTGGGGGTGTAACTTGTCCTGCTAGATTTAGGGGAGACTAAAGCATGACTGCTAAATATATTGTCTGTGACCTAGGTTCCTGTCTTAAAGGCCCGTGAAGATCCGGGGTAGAATAGGTCTTCAGCAACCCGTAAAAGGCGACTAACAGGATTGGGTGGTCAGACTTGCTGACTTGGTTGATGCATGTCATCGATCCCAATTGCGTGGATCGATGCTCATGTTGTCAATCATTTGATTGTCTGGTCCAGACTTGATTACTTACAGACCACCGTCAAATAGCTGAAATATTGCTCAGTGCTGTGTTAAACAACAAACAAACAAATAAATCCTGTCTTAAAATAAAGCTGAACCAGGATATCTCCAATGTATCATAAATTTGTTGAAGACCTCACCCACCACTCAGTACATAGTTAGTTCAAAGACTGTTAGACAGCATTTACATAAATGTGTTTTGTAAAATATTATATTAAAGAATAACTTGCCATGGTGAATAGCTTTACCATTTGTATATTCATAAGACTGTTCTAGATACATTATCAGCTTAAGTTTGAATACCAGGAGGAGAACAGATAAAATCTGTGATATTTAAGAATTGATATTCCATACAAAAATTGTAGTAATTTGATATCCACTGGTGTAATAAAACATCCTTATTAAAAATTATCCTTGTATTATTATTTGGGGACAAAAAGGACAAAAACAACATTTGTTACCATATTTGACGTTAAAGCGCCCCGCTCTAATAAGCTGCCACGGCAATATTTGCTAATATATTGGCTAGTGAACAATCCTAATTTGCACCCCTTCCGATTGATCAATGTACACAAGACTTATTTATTCGCGTATATTACGCACCCGTGTGTTATATGCACCCTTTATTATGGGCAATTAAATTCTGGAAAAATATATCTGTCGTATATAGTGCCCGTGCTCTTATTACACCGAATACAGTAATTACGATTAATGGCTTAACAGTAATTCTTTGTGACAAGGAGCAAGGCTTCCAGGGTTCTGTGGTAGTATAGATGTAACAGTGTGCGGTGTGGCCTCGGTTCTAAACACTAGACTCTGCTTGCTTCCTGTGCTGCCTTCAGAAGACAAGTTCCAGCTGTGGGTCGGAGGACACATACTTTGAGTACCCGTGAGTCGAGCTGACATTGTCACAGCATGCTGCCTTTTTACTGCTGCTGAATGAAGCAGGAAATTAAGGATGCTGGTTGTGAATGATGGAGTTGCATGCTTTCACTCACTGGTTGGGCACACCAGAAACCTATGATTTTGGGTTCGAATCCTGGTTTGCCCAAATTATTTTTCTAGGTTTGTCAGCACAATACTCATGTTCGTGGGTTTCACCGAAGTGGTAACCGTCTTAAACCTGCATCACTTCAGGCTTTCCTCCCACATTAAGCTGACACGCCGTGATATAACTGAAATAATGTTAAAAGCGGTGTTAAACCCAACTCACTGACTCACTATACTTCAACTTTGCACAGACTTTGCAGTATTTTGAAAGATAGGCAGTTCGGTGACATTGTTGCTGTGCAATCTCGTAAGTGCAATAGTGGGCAACTTTGTTCAAGAAGTACCTGCGCGCTAGAACTGTCTTTGTCAGCGTTACTGTAAGCAAGTTTGCCTAGCCCATTTGACTTGAGTAAAGCATTGATTGTGTAATCAGAGGACAGGTGCTTGCAGTTATCTCATATAACACATATGTGTCAGTTCATAGACTTTTGTTACATCATGGATTGAGGAAATGTTTTTTTGAGCTTTAAATTTTTCATGTTCATCAGCTTTGTGTCTGTACACCAAGGTTCTACTGTAACACATAGATATACACACCCTGCCACCATCAATGTCACATGTCACCATCAGTGTCACATGTGTCGCCATCAATGTCACATATGCCAGCATCAGTGTCACATGTGTCACCATCAATGTCACACATGCCACCATCAATGTAACACATGCCACCATCGATGTCACATGTGCCACCATCAATGTCACACATGTCACCATCAATGTCACATATGCCACCATCGATGTCACATGTGCCACCATCAATGTCACACATGCCACCATCAATGTCACACATGTCACCATCAATGTCACACATGCCACCATCAATGTCACACATGCCACCATCAATGTCACACATGCCACCATCAATGTCACACATGCCACCATCAATGTCACATGTGTCACCACCAATGCCACACATGCCACCATCAATGTCACATATGCCACCACCAATGTCACATGTGTCACCACCAATGTCACATGTGCCACCATTGATGTCAAATATACCACCACCAATGTCACATATATGTCACCATCAATGTCACACATGTCACCATCAATGTCACATATGCCACCATCGATGTCACCCATGCCACCATCAATGTCACACATGCCACCATCAATGTCACATGTGCCACCATCGATGTCACATATGCCACCATCGATGTCACATATGCCACCATCAATGTCACATGTGTCACCACCAATGTCACACATGCCACCATCAATGTCACATATGCCACCACCAATGTCACATGTGTCACCACCAATGTCACATGTGCCACCATTGATGTCAAATATACCACCACCAATGTCACATATATGTCACCATCAATGTCACACATGTCACCATCAATGTCACATATGCCACCATCGATGTCACACATGCCACCATCAATATCACACATGCCACCATCAATGTCACACATGCCACCATCAATGTCACATGTGCCACCATCGATGTCACATATGCCACCATCGATGTCACATATGCCACCATCAATGTCACATGTGTCACCACCAATGTCACACATGCCACCATCAATGTCACATATGCCACCACAAATGTCACATGTGTCACCACAAATGTCACATGTGCCACCATTGATGTCAAATATACCACCACCAATGTCACATACATGTCACCATCAATGTCACACATGTCACCATCAATGTCACATATGCCACCACCAATGTCACATATGCCAGCATTAGTGTTACGCTTGCCATCACTGTTGCTCACAATCTCCATTACTTGATTGTCTGGTCAAGACTCGAATATTTACAGGCATATAATATACATATCATGCTTCTATATTTGTCACAAACACATCACTGATAGATGTCTGTCTGTCATGACACTAAGTACCCACCACCCACATGGGTACCTGTAAACCCTGATGACCCACCACCCACATGGGTACCT